TTTGGACGCACGTGTACACGCGGGCGTGTGCGCACGTGTGTACGGACTGAGTAAGCTGAAGTCAGCTGTCGGGTCCGCCGGCACGCCGCATAATAGGGGACGTTGACGCAGCTGTTATCGGTTAGCCAGAAGCAGTTGCGAGGTCAAACCTCGGGTGACGGAAGCGCCAGTGAAAGAAAGCATTGTGACGATGCGACTTTGGGGCAGCGAGCCTTGGACAACGAGGGGGGGGGAAGGCATTGTGGCTACCAACCACACTACCATTGCACCACGGGCCGTTGTTCTTGTCAGCTGCGATCGGGAATATGATGAGAATAGGGGGCTCCCCGATCTCCTTAAGGAACAGTCGTGCGTTGTGAATTGCAGCTCACCTTGGAGCCCTCACAGGCAGTCGCACAGTGACTTGTGGTATATGATGATAAGGTGGAACCGGCAAAGACAAATGAGACCGCAGTAGCTATTTCTGTCTTATTAACCGTCATCAGTCAGTCACTAGCCAATAGGTTTTGTCGTATTAATAGGCAACGACCACAAGCAGTTGAATGGAAGTTCACGAAATTCGATGACCTGAGTAAATTCTGCCGACTTCATCGCCTTGGTCTCGTTCGGAAAAGAATCTGTCAGAAAAAAAACTATTTGCGACGTGTAAAACTCATAATAATCAGCAACTGGTAACAACCACAGCAGAAATCATCTCTACAGTGTTTGGCTCTCGATTTGCAGCGGCACAGAAAGCAAAATAATTGGCTTTCCGGCATTAATCCTTTTCTGTGCTGAGTAGGAAATAAGTACATAAGAAGTATAGAAAAGAAACACTCAGAGAGAGCAAAGTTCGGTCGGTCGGTCAGTTGTTAAGTCATGCAGAAGACAGGCAAAACAACAATACTTACTGACAGTAAACCTTTCCCGATTGCTCATGCGCGGTCGTGCTGTCAGTGAAGGGGATGTGACAGGACTGACAAAAGAAGTGATCCGGATGCCAGAACGCGCCCATGGCCTCGAGACAGCGCTGAAGGGGATCAACAATAAGGGGGTATAAATAAGCAGATGAGCACTGCTGAGAAAGACAATGGAGACTGGAGTGGTCAACTCTGACTCATTTGCTGTCATCACCAGCTATCAATCCCAAGTGGTTCAGCGCCTGAGACTCGAACCCGCGACCCTTCGACCATAAGTTCAACACTCTAATCATTGAGTCATAAAGGGCCCAGTGTCCAGAGAGAGGCAGGAAGATCAGAGCTGGTAGAGGGCGTACGCTCCCGCACTGTGGGCCATCACAATCAAGAAAATCACAGCAAGTGTGGGGGGCTGTGATCCCAACTGAGTGGGGGTGGCATAAAGGCGACATTAAAAAGGATCCATTGCAGCTTGACTCTCAGTCCGCCAGTCAGCGAATGCGCACCAAAGCAGAGTGGACTGACCGGACGGTCCAAGTTAGGCCGTCAACTGGCAATCTTCCAAGCCACTGCCTCAGTCTATATTCCTACACGTATAAAAATGAAGCGAACCGAACCACAAACGGACGGATTTGGCTGGGTTTGGCTGGGCTTAAATGCAGACGGTTTCCCGAAGAAGTCACAAAAATGCTGTAGTAAATAGCATTTAAAGACACCATAGTTGCGAAGAGTCTTAAAAAATTCGATAGATACAGCAGAGAAGTCCTTGTTTTCAGTCACTAAGGTCGGTCAGGATTTTAGGGCCAAACTGGAACAACTGCCATATGGAAATACTTTCTAAACGATACATTAATTTTGAATGAAAGGTTGAAATGGCCAAATAATTGACGCGTAGGTCAATAAAGCATGCATCAGACGCAGGCAGGACTCTGCCAACTTACATCTATGATTGCCTCGCCGCAGTAGGCACATTTGGGCGCGAAGAGGGAGAGATGACATTCTGTGCAGTAGGGTTCCGCATCATGCTCAAAAAAGTCCTCGTGGATGAGGTTGATGCGACAGCAGGCGCAGGTGAAATGCTCTGGATGCCAAACGCCACCCAAAGCTTGGATGACCTTGCAAATAAAAGAAAAAATATCAAACATTTTTAAATAAGAACCTTCTAGAAGACTTGGGCAGGTGCAAAGTGAAAGATCGGAGGTTGATTTCAGCGCTCGCAGTTTGTCGGCTCCCCCTCCCATAGTCACTCATAAAATACCCTAATAAAGCACTCTCAATATGAAGAGCCCAGCAGAGAAGGTCCTTCAACTGATTAAAACACGTGTCGCAGGTTTTCATTGCGACATTCCACTTTCTTTGGAGTGGGTCATACGTGACACAATCCGTCATCTGTGCATTAGTCACAGAAAGGCCAATCGACATGTGACATTATTAATACTTCTCTTTTCATGAGGTCCTCATCCGCGAAGTCGTAGTATCTTCTCTTTACCGTGGCATTTCGCATTTCAGACAGTGTAAAAGCGGGAAAAATGCACAAAAATCTCCTGACATTACTTCGGCGCATATAATTAACTAGCGCGGAAGCCCGGCTTCGCCTTGGGCTTCCTTACATGTTGTTG